ATATATTCCATTCCAATGTCAAATATGTTCTCATCACGATATGGCTGAAATATTGCCGATATGACGTTAAATATTAACTTACTCACTCACTCACTCACTCCTTCTTCATGGCGTGATGCTTTAATTGTTCCAATTCCTAAACCTGGACGTGACCGTACCGATCTTTCTAATTATCGACCAGTTTCACTCACTAGCTGTGTTTGCAAGACCATGGAATGCATGATCAATAATCGATTAGTTTGGTACTTGGAAACCAATAACTGATATACAATGTGGTTTCCGTAAAAACTGAAGTACAATTGATCATTTAGTGCGTTTAGAATCTTTTGTTAAAATGCCATAATAAACAACATGCAGTGTCGATCTTTTTCGATCTAGAAAAAGCATACGATACGATACGACGTGGAAATATGGTATTTTAAGAGATTTACATGATTTTGGATTACGGGGCCGTTTGCCTCAATGTATATCCAACTTTTTAATGATAGACAATTTCAAATCCGAGTGGGTTCAACACTGTCTGACCATTATAATCAGGATCAGGGTGTCCCACAAGGCAGTATTTTGTCTGTCACACTGTTTAGTATTAAGAGTTTGAGTTGAGTTGGGCAGAATATGCTTGACGGTGAAAGCCTCATCGCAGGAGAGACATATGGGGGGTCCATCCCCATCCGTTTTTAGCAGATAGTCATGTGTAAATCGACTGTGGCCAATACGACATCGTCGTAAAATTACTTCATCACGTCTTGACTGGCAACCCAAGTAGGTATAACCGATTGTTGGCTTCAATTCATGGAGTTTGTTTCTTCCTACTTGAGTGTCCCACCTTTTTTGCATCAGGTCCCGAGTATAGCTTCTGATAGTGGGTTTGAAATCACTGTACGGGATTAGCAGTGGAGATAGGGGCTTTTCAAGAGCTGCTTTTGCTGCAGCATCGGCCTTAGTGTTACCTGCTATGCCGACGTGACCTGGCAACCAGCAGAGGACGATGTCATATTGGCCAGTAGAAAGGTCGTTGTACAGTTCTAGTATGTCCAGGATGATTGGTTGACTTGAAGTCACGTTTAGAAGTGCTTGAAGGCAGGATAATGAATCTGTAAAAACGATGAAGTTTTTGGAATGATTTTGCTGTTGAATGTAGGTCAAAGCTGAAAAGATAGCTTTGGCTTCAGTGGTGAAAATGGAACTGTTGTCGGGGATTCTAGAGGAGACAGTCTTGGCTCCAATGACTGTAGCGCTGGCAACTTGGCCATCGTCCTTGGATCCGTCTGTGAAAATGGATCTGTGAGTGTTATACTTCGAACGTAACTGGTTGTATTCCTGTTGGAACACCAAGGGATTTGTTTCAGACTTTTTGAGTTTGGTAAGGGTAAGATCGACCTGTGGTTTCACCATTTGCCATGGTGGTGAGGACAGAAGTCGGTATGGTGCAATGATGTTGAGATCAATTTTAGCTGCAGATATATGTGGTTTGATCCTGATTCCAAGTGGTGGAACCAGGCTTGGCAGTTTAGGAAAAAAGTTTTCATAGAGCGCGTTGAAAACACAATTGTATGCTGGATTGGACTCATTTGAACGTAATTTAGTGATATACTGCAGTGAGAGTTTAATGCGGCGTTGTTCAAGGGAAGGTTATTAAGATCAACAGTTTATCCAAGGTTTTAAATGATTCAATAGATGGATCACTTTTCGTGGATGATTTTTATATTTTTTGTCGCGGTAAAAATATGCATACTGTTGAACGGCAACTGCAGTTGGATCAAGCTACCCTCCTTCACCTCTTTAGATCACTGGTCCGCTCGAAGCTTGATTATGGCTCCATCGTATATGGTGGAGCCTGCAAAAGCAACTTAAAACTATTAGATTCTGTCCACCACCAAGGTCTCAGACTTTGTCTTGGGTCCTTTAGAACCTCTCCTGTTGACAGTCTCTACGTCGAGGCAGATGAACCATCTCTTACCCAACGGCGTATACAATTTTCATTACAATATATTACCAAACTATATTCTAACGAGTCTAATCCTGCATTTCTTTGTGTCTTTACTCCTCTTTATGGGGATTTGTACAACAAGAAATCTTCTCTTGTTCCGCCTCATTGGCTCAGGATTAAGCCATTCATTATTGCTGCCGGCATTAAGCTGGTTAATATCTCTCCTTCCCGTCTTCTTTCTTCTCCTCCTTGGCAATTAGTTAGGCCACAAGTCGACCTAGCCTTAACTTCTTCTTAAAAGAAGAGGGACACCCAAGTAGGTATAAATATATCACATGAAATAAAGCCCTAAATCGGTTACACTTACTTGGGCTGTCAGTTAGGACATGCTTGACAGTGATTTTTTCATCACAAGGGATGCAAAAAGGAGGATCTTCACCTTTTAACAAATATTCATGAGTATACCTTGTGTGACCAATGCGACATCGTCGGATGATGACCATATACAATGGAACCGTAATCAAGTCTTGATCGGACCAGTGATCTATATAAGTGAAGAAGGGTAGCTTAAATCCCCTCCCCACTTTGAATTAATAACAACTTTCAATAAGTCGAGTGCCTTCAGGCATTTACTTTTCAAGATTTGATATGTGGAAGAAAAGTTAAATGGGAGTCGAAAATTAGTCCCAAGAACTTGGCCTCCTTGACAACTTTGATGGGAGTGCCATTTAAAAATAGTTCCGGGTCCTTATGCGGCTTATATTTTCTACAGAAGTGTAGGTAGTGTCATATGCTTTTTCAAGATAAAAAAAGATAGACACAGCGTGTTGTTTATTAATTATAGCGTTTTTAACAAATGATTCCAAACGCATTAAGTGATCGACAGTACTTCTGTCTTTACGGAAACCACATTGTATATCTGTTATTAGGTTATTTGTTTCCAAGTACCAAACAAGTCAATTATTTATCATGCGTTCCATGGTTTTGCAAACACAGCTAGTTAGTGAAATAGGGCGATAACTGGACGGATCTGTATGATCACGTCCAGGTTTAGGTATTGGTACTACTATAGCGTCACGCCATGAGGGAGGAAATTTACCTGATGTCCAAATATCATCAAAAATATTTAAAAGAGTTTCTAGACAAGATTCTGGTTAGTGCTTCAGGACCTGATAATGTATGTTATCAGCATCTGTAGCAGTATCGTGAGCTTGTTCAAGAGCCGTATGGAGCTCATGAATAGAAAATAGTTCATTATAGTCTTCCCCATTATCTGAATTGAAATTGATAGGTTTCTTTTCTTGTTGTTTTTGATATTGCTGGAATTTAGGCACATAATTAGAAGAGGAAGAATGTTTAGGAAGAGTTTCAACAGGTTTATTCGCAATATCTGTAAGTAATTGATTTCCATGTTTAAGATGATGGACACTAGATTTAGACACTACCTTTAATTGTCTGTATCATGCTCCACACTTTAGACATGGGCGTTCGGGAATTTATTTTGGATACATAATTTTTCCAAGATTGGCGTCTATTCTGTTTAAAGGTACGCCGCGCTTTAGCATTTAAAAATTAAAATTTATTTAAATTATGAACCATAGGGTGGCGACGAAAATAATGTTCCTAGCTTGTTTGCATTCTAATCGTAGTATTTTTGTCATTTTAATGTATGGCTAAATGGCTGAAGGGATTGGTGTAAATCCAGCTAGGGTCCATGCAGGTAGCAAAGGTACTGTAAGTCCCCATGGACCCTGGCATTGTGATCTACCTTCAGTTGTTTGCGAGTAATAGCCTGTTTATATATTGCGTTATTGTGTATAGTGATATATTTTTGTGATAGCGTGCTAGTTTTAAATTAAGAGCTGTGATATTCTAGTAGTTTTACTGTCCTTCGCTGACAGATTTTTATGTTCCCAATTTATTGTTTGTTATATTGATATAAATTAAATTGTTCTCGTCACGATATGGCTGAAATATTGCCGATCTGACGTTAAATATTAACTCACTCACTTGTTTGCATTCATCCTTGAACCAAGATTTTCGAATATGTGGAATTGCAGAGGATTTTGGTATTCACTCATCAGCTATGATGTTCAGTGCATCAGTAAAACATTTGGCGGCATCAGGAACGCCAATAAAAAGTTCAGGTTTAAGTTTTGCAGCACATAGTGTTTCATACAGAGCCTAGTTAGCCTTTTTAAAATTCCGCCTTGATGATGGAGGAACATCAGATGGAGTTACAGGTTTTAGTATAGTAGGAAAATGGTCACTTCCACAGAGGTCATCGTGGACTGACCACTCGAATTCATTCAGTAGTTCTGAATTTGTAACTGTCAAGAGCAGAATATGTTCCTGTACCAGGCTGTAAATAAGTGTTGGAACCATCATTACAAATACATAAATCATTATCTGAACAAAACTCCTCCAGTAGTCTACCTTTAGCGTTTGTAGTTACACCCCCTCAGAGTGGATTGTGTCCATTTAAATCTCCCATGATAATACATGGTATTGGCAGTTGGTCATATAAAGCTTGAATATCGTTTTTTTTCAAACGTTGATGATGGAGAGATATATAAAGAAAATAATGTAAAGACAACGTTTAAAGTAAGTCGCACTGCAACAGCCTGCAGATTAGTAGTAAGTAAAATAGGGCTATGGATAATGTTCCAATGGATCTTCCAATGGCTCTGTCACCAGGAGGTGAAAAACAATGATATGCATTTGAAAACACGGTGCAGGTATGCACGGGACCAGGTTAGACTTGTTCAGTGGTTCAAAGGAAAACCAACAAGGTCAGGTACCATTAACTTTGTATTCTGGTGAAGGGTACAACAGAGGCATGCACCACATGGGTGCCGCCATATTGGATCCTAAAAGTTGGAATGATGCAAAATGTAGGTTGAAACGGAATTGGCATGCTAAAACGAAATAAGATTCATAGATAAAGTAAATGACCATTTTGGTCTTAAAAGGACTTTGTAACAGCCGCCCCAAAATTTAAGCATTAAATTTGAAATAAGAAAAGTCCTTAGAACGTTCTGGAATAGTTCCTAGGAATTGAAATAGTAATTCAAGTGTCATTTGGGTCCACTGGACATTCTGGCAGAGGGACGAGTTTGGCCACAGCCCTCGTATAGTCCTTGTTCTTAACAGTTACTGTGGCCGTCCGAACATGACCATCTTGTCCTGGGTGAGTTTGGGTCACACGTCCCACTGGCCACTGGGCACGGATTGACTGATTGTCAACAATCATGACGACATCTCCTTCCTGGATGTTGACTCTTGGTTTCTGCCATTTGCTCCGTAGCTGCATGTCGGGCAGATAGGATTTTATGAAGTGGGTCCAGAAGTCCGCTAGGACCTGGCTGTGCCTCCATCTCTTCTGGCTTAGGAGTTGGTCCGCAGGATACACAACCTGAGGTAAAGATGTGTCATGCCGCCCCATTAGGAGAATGTTGGGTGTGATTGGGTCCAAATCTCTAGCATCTGATGACACGTAGGAAAGTGGCTTCGAGTTGAGAATGCCTTCGACTTCGCACAAGACAGTGCGCAAGGTTGCTTCGGTAACAGTCTGTTGACCAAGTGACACTCTGAGGCCATGTTTGACTGATCTGATCTCCCTCTCCCACACGCCTCCATGATGGGGTGCACTTGGAGGGTTGAACACAAATTCTACCCTTTGGTTGACAAGGTAGTGACGTAGTTCTGGTTCCATTTCAGACCATGCGTCCTGTAACTCTGATTTAGCACCTTTGAAGTTGGTGCCCTGGTCTGACAAGAGTTCATGAGGTTTACCCCTTCGGGGGATACAAAGCGTCGGAACGCCATGAGGAAAGCATCTGAATCCATAGACTCAAGGAGGTCTAGGTGCACTGCTCGGGTAGTCATACACTTAAAAATCAATCCCCATCGTTTCTCCAAACGACGTCCTATCTTCACCTGCATCGGGCCAAAACAGTCTACTCCAGTTGAGTAAAAGGCTGGTTTGAAGAGTCGGAGACGGGCCGGTGGTAGGTCGGCCATCTTCTGAGTTGCAGGGATGGAACGCCACTTCTGGCAGGTAGCACACTTACGTTGATGTCGTCGTATGGCCTCTCTGCCACGGAGGACCCAGAATCTGCGTCGGATCTCGGCAAAGAGATTTTCCGGACCGTAATGCAAGAGTTTCTCGTCATGATCTCTGATAATCAGTTTGGTGATCTCGTGGCTTGGATCAAGAACTATGGGATTCTTAATATTCGAATCCAGGGATTCAGCTCGACGGAGTCTGCCGCCTACACGGATCAAGTCAAGTTCTGGATCGTATTCAGGATCAAGTTGAATCAGTCGACTATTGTGTGGTAATTGCTTACCAGACTTGAGGCAATCAAAGTCCTTTGAGAAGCACTGTTGTTGTACTTGGCGGTACAGATAGTTCTCAGTTTGCTCAACATGTTCAGGAGTCAGTGTTTTAGTTTCCTCTTTAGGGGCCGCCCCGTCAAGGGCTTCATTTACATCGGAGATGAATACTTCCTAAGATTCATACTGTGTTGGGTCAGGCAAAGTGGGTGTCTTTGTCACAATCGTTGACAACATGGCAGATTTCCTAAGTTCTGCTGGCTCGTCACTGCCTGTTGATGGAGATTCAGGCCATTCATCTGCTGACTGTCGGAGGAAGGCAGGTCCATTTCTCCATCTGGATTCTTCAACAAGGTCTTTGACACTCAGGCCTCGAGTGATATCATCAGCTGGGTTTTGCTGTGTGTTCACATACCTCCAGCAATGTGTGTCGGTGAGGTTCTGAATTTCAGCTACTCTGGCTCCAACAAATACCTTGTATCTGCAAGATTCAGACTGCAACCATGTGAGCACAGTAGTAGAGTCACTCCATAGATAAGTAGCTTGGATTGGTAGCGTTATTTCACACTGCAACAGGTCTGCTAACTGAGCACCTGTCAGAGCTGCACACAGCTCTAGCCGTGGTATGGTTAACTGTCTCTTCGGTGCAACCTTGGATCTCGACATCACGAAGCTGACATGAACCCTTCCATGTCGATCTTCTGAGCGCAAATAGGCGACTGATCCATATACCCTTTCGGATGCGTCACAGAAGATGTGTAATTGTGTAGTTGAATCGTCTGGATCAAACCCTTGAGGAATATAGCACCTTGGTAAAGTAATCAGAGGGATGAGTCCCAGCTCACTTTCCCAAGCAAGCCACCTGTCACGAAGTTGCCCATTTTCAATGGAATCGTTCCAGTTTCTCTTTGACTTCCATAAGTCTTGTACTACGACCTTGGCTTGTCCAATGAACGGTGACAGATACCCGATGGGGTCATATTGGCTTGCTAGCACTTTGTATACCATTCTCATGGTTAAATTGGGGTAGTCTACATTTCTGTGTTTGTAGGTAAGTTCATCTGACTGACAGTCCCAGCGTAAGCCCAAAGTCGGTTCTCTAGGTTCACCCTGTCCAAAGTTGAGCCACAGGTCTGCAGCCTCAGACCTCGCTTCAGCAGGGAGATTGGCGACAACCTCAGGAACATTACTTGCCCACTGTCTTATGTTGAATCCACCGTCTGTGAGCACATTTCGCATCTTGGTGACAAGCTGCTTTGCCTGAGTTTGGTTCTCGAAACTGTCCAAACAGTTATCTACATAGAAGGATTCACTCACTGATTTGAACACTTCCTCATTGCCTGTCTGGTTTTCAGCTGCATGTTTCAACAGTGCATAGCTTGCGCAACAGGGGGAGCAGGTAGTACCAAAGGGCAGAACTTGCCATTCATACACGTCTGGTGGACGATCGCATTGCATGTCTCGCCACAGGAAACGAAGCAAGGGTCGATCAGGTGGAAGCAGTCTGATTTGGTGGAACATAGCTTTGATGTCGGCAGTTACTGCCACTGCATGCTGTCGGAACCGGAGAAGCACTCCTAGAAGTGATGATCCAATGGTAGGGCCTGCTAACAAGTGATTGTTAAGATTTTTAGATTCAAACTCGAATGAACAATTGAACACAAGGCGATGTTTTCCGTTATGTTCAACCACATGGTGAGGGATGTACCAGGACTCTTTCGAATCTCTTATGTCGTCATCAGTGAGTTTTTCACAAATCCAGATTCATCAAGCTTCGAATAGCCTCATTGTGCGTTCTGGCCATATCAGAATTGTCCTTTAGTCGTCGTTCAGTACGCTTCAGAGTTGGGAGAACAGCTTCCACCCTGGCATTGAAACGGGTACCATCATGAGAGCGTAAGAGTGGGGTTGCGTAGTGACTTCACGCCATCCACCTCAATTCTTGTGGTCTGAGAATCTAGTATTTCCAGTGCCATCTTGTCCTGTTTGGAGCGAATGACCTGTTTACTCGTAAAGGGAAGAGTGTCCAATTGCCAAAGTCTCTCCACACAGTGAGATGGCGAGAGATCAGCTGGTCGAGTCTGGTTCAGCAGACAAGTGTTCCTCTTCGACTGCCATAGCATCATCGACGGACCTTGGACAGTCCAGCCAAGGTTGGTGTGGACACCACTAGGAGCATCTGAATTACCAAAGCGTACTGGCTCTATAGGCAAGATCAGCTTTGAGTTGTCGGATCCTATCAGAATACTTGGCACTGCTCCATTTATCTTTGGTAGAGGAAGGTTTTCCAGATGAGTCCAGTGCTGCTGCATATTCTCTATGGGATATGTGTACTCTGACATGCATAGATTGTCTGCGGTGAAGGCATTGTCGATGTCAAACCTATTGGCTGGCTGGTCTGCTGACGAAATCTGGAGTTTCACAGATTGTCCACTACAGTGCACTGATTCTTATTGTTGTAAGGAGAATGGAATCCTGCTTCCCAGTGAGTTGAAGCTGCTGAGCCGTTGATTTCAATATCATGGTTCGCATAGATCCATCATCAAGAATTGCGTACGTCGATACTGTGCTGCAGGGACCATGTAGGATTACTGGCACAATCTTTAACATAATGAGTGCAGGATGTGATGGTTGATCCATGTAGTAAACTTTGGATGATGTCTGCTGAAGGGCATCATGTAAGACTGTTAGATGCAACTGCTTACAAATGTGACATGGCTTTCTCAAGGTGCATTCCCTTTCTTTGTGGTTTCGGCCACACCTGCTGCATCTGTTTTGACCCAGCCACTTGGAAATCTCACTTAATGACAGCTTCTTGAATTCAGGACACCCATTCAGGAAGTGGTCCCCACTAATACAATATGGGCAAAATGGCTTAGCTCTATTCACAGATGAAGTCTTGGCCTCCCTGATCAGGAATAAAGCTGTTGGATTAGGTTGTCTATTGCCCAACCGAGGCGGTGGAGGCTTCCGATGCTCTCTTGGGGTCTCCGGCTTGTAGACTGTGGCAGCCTGGCTGGCAATGCGCATGGCACGTGATTTGGTCTGTAACCAGTCGGCTAAGTGACATAACGTATATGTCTGGTCACTGTCTGATCGAAGGATTGAGTCTTTGATACAGTGCTCTACAAAGCTGTCTCTGTAACTTGGTGGCAATTTTCCAAGTAATCTGTCGACATGCGAACCACATTTAAGCTCAGATCCATTTCCACTTTCCACTGACTTCAGCATTCCTACTAAAGAACGTACGGAGAGAGCAAAACTGTCAAATGCATCGAGATCCCCGTACCTCAGTACAGGTGTTCCCATAAGGGCTCCTAATTCACTCTGAACAAGCTGTCGTGGCTGTCCATATCTCTCCTTCAATGCTTGGAGTGAGGTTGTGAAGGGCCTCTCGTCGTGCATGAATGCTGAAGCTAGTCTCTTAGGGGGACCTCCAAGCCTGTCCAGTAAAATTTGATATTTGTGTTGCTCGGTCAAGCCTGGATGGACGCTTACCAGATTATCCAGGGCTATCTTCAGTAGGGCAAAATCCCTTTCCTTTCCACTATTGAAGTTAGGTAGGTTTGGCCTTGGAATGAATAGTTGAGACATGGCTGGTGTCACTTGTGGGTTGACAGGGTGGAAGTCATAGGGAATTGGATTAACATTCACAGTGTCACTCAAGGTTGAATTAGAGTTTATCAAATTCTGCCTGTGGGTTTCATAATGTGGATCAGCACAGTTTGGTTGTGAGTAACATGGTTGATAAGGGTAGTTGTGTATTCTTGGTGATGCTTGGTCAGTAAAGTTTGCAAACGATGTCTGGGCTGACATGGCTGCTGGTATGCTTGATGGCATCAAGACATGAGTGTCGATCGCATCAGGACCTGGTGTCCCAGAGGACATCATGATGGGAGAGTGGACCACACCGGGAGACATCATGACTGGTGTATGGACAGCACTGGAAGCTGGTATACTGGAGGATATCTGGACGGAAGAGTGAACAGCGCTGGGAGCTGGTACACTGGAGGATGTCTGGACGGAAGTGTGGACAGCACTGGGAGCTGGTACACTGGAGGGTGTCTGGACGGAAGTGTGGACAGCACTGGGAACTGGTACACTGGAGGGTGTCTGGACACCAGTGTGGACAGCACTGGGAGCTAGTACACTGGAGGATGTCTGGACGGAAGTGTGGACAGCACTGGGAGCTGGTACACTGGAGGATGTCTGGACGGAAGTGTGGACAGCACTGGGAGCTGGTACACTGGAGGGTGTCTGGACGGAAGTGTGGACAGCACTGGGAGCTGGTACACTGGAGGGTGTCTGGACGGAAGTGTGGACAGCACTGGGAGCTGGTACACTGGAGGGTGTCTGGACGGAAGTGTGGACAGCACTGGGAGCTAGTACACTGGAGGATGTCTGGACGGAAGTGTGGACAGCATTTGGAGATGGCACAGTGGTGCTCATCACAACAGGGGAATCTTCATTTATCATACAGTCAATGAAACTTGCCTCTTTTAATCCGGCTTCAGCTTCCCGAATTCGCCTTAAGTGGGTGATCTTAGTTCCTAGTCGCTCTCGTTCTCGTTGGGCTTCGCGTTCTATCTCATGAGCCCTCCTCTGCGTCTTTAGAATTTCCATTTCAGCCTCCTCCTGTGCCTTTCGTGCTATGTCGTCACATCTTGTTAATTCCTCCTGTGTGAGGATATCCTCCTCAAATCTTCTTTGCAATTCCTCTAGTTTGGATAATTTCTTTAGTTTTTCTAACCTTGCAGTTTGCTTGTCTGACAGCTGTGAGGTCACAGATCTTATTGATCCTTGGGAAGTTCTGCTACATACAGAGCTGTGGTCAGATATTGTGGATTTTGAATTTTCTGATTTCTTATTTCTTCCACTTCTATTCACTGATTTCGATGACTCTACTGACTTTCTGCTTCTTTGAGTCACAGATTTGTTTGCTTCTGTTACAGCAACTTCCTTATCAACATCCATAGGGGGGTTTGATAACACATAGTCCTCCCTGAGGTGCAAGGGTAGTTTACTTTCCCTCTGTGACTGTCTTACCGGTGCTATTGGATCTTGAGAGGTGTGCTCCTTTGATGCCATTTTCCACTTTATATCCGCCTCGCGGGACCATGAAAACACGGTGCAGGTATGCACGGGACCAGGTTAGACTTGTTCAGTGGTTCAAAGGAAAACCAACAAGGTCAGGTACCATTAACTTTGTATTCTGGTGAAGGGTACAACAGAGGCATGCACCACATGGGTGCCGCCATATTGGATCCTAAAAGTTGGAATGATGCAAAATGTAGGTTGAAACGGAATTGGCATGCTAAAACGAAATAAGATTCATAGATAAAGTAAATGACCATTTTGGTCTTAAAAGGACTTTGTAACAGCATTGAAGGAACGCAGGACAAAAGCATCTGTCTGTTTTAAATAGGTCTCCTGCAGACAGAACGCTGATGGTGTTAAATCCTGGACTAAAAGCTGCAATTCATTGAAATTAGTCCTTAATACTCTGCAGTTCCACTGTATAATAGTATTCTGATAACCTATCTTTTGGGTGGATTTATTGAGGATCTACCCCGCACTTTTTTGGTGGGCGACAAGCTGTGTACCCTACTAATCTGGGTTTTTAAGTTTGGCTTTAACAGGACCTTGTTGAGACTTTGTTGACGACTGAGAAGATGGTTCATGATCGGGGGATGTCCCTGATTGTATTTGAGATGTACCAGGAAGTGATTCTCCTGTTTGAGTAGATATAGCGGGAGAAAAAAGTTTAGGAGTATCTGTTTTTACCCAAGTTAAGTTTGTCTGACAACTTGCAGACATTTTAGTTACTCTAGCGGTTTTAGTTGCCTCAGCGGTTGGCAATGGAAGCATAGCTTTCTGTCTGTTCTGAACTTTGGACTATTTTCTTTGCATCTGCAAACTAATGTTTTGTGTGAATTTTATTTAATTGATTGCCATTTGCTGTTCCCAAATGGGGCAGTCTTTAGAGTCAGATGGGTGAGTCCCAGCACAGTTGGAGCATGTTTTGACATTACTGTGACAATCTTCTGTTGTGTGTGTATTTTCACCACAGTGAGCACACACAACAGACATGTGCAAGTATTTACGCCGTGGCCAAACTTTTGACATTTGAAGCACCTAAGAGGGTTTGGAATGTATGTCTCAACATTAAGGTTACAATAACCTGCCTTCAGTGATTTTGGTGCATTAGGTAGAGAAAAGGAAAACAGATACGTGTTGGTTTTTAATGGTTGTGTCGTTTTAACGGGTTGAGAAGCGTTTAACAGAGAGTAAACCCTGATCTATCATCTCGGAGACGATATCTAATTCCGACATGTCAGCCAGCAATCGCTCACGATCTCTAACAATTCCCTTGCTCGAATTAAGGGTCTTCATGAGCCGTGACGGTGACAGGAATGCCGACAAAAGTTTCGGTGTTCAATAGGTTGGTTGACTGTTGT